ACTATAGCAAAAAAAAAAAAAAAAAAAAAGTGTAATCTCCACAGGAAAGGTCTTGGGTCTGTCATGTTCACTAATGAATCTCCATTTTCCTGCATTTATTTATATGCTCAGTGTTTTTGTTGAATGGACAAATGAATAAAATAGTTTACAGTGGGGGCCGGCAGGAGGCATGGTGGTTGAGGGCGCTGGATTCCCACATGGGTGACTGCAGTTCAAGTTCTGGACCAGGTGGCTTGCTTTCTTGCTTTCCCTTTCTCTCTAGTCAAATTAATAATAATAATAACAAATGGAATTAAATAAATATTTTAAAAAATAGTTTACAGTGGAGATTTTCCCTGTAAGTTAAAAGACTGTTTTGTAATTCACATGTCTATCACTATCTCACCTCCTGTCAAAACTTAGTATTTTTTCCTTCCAAGGTGAATTCAGTTTCCAAAATAAACTCATATTGTCCCTTTCAAGGTCATAGGAAAGAACTGGCCTCACTTGCTGGAGGGCTGGTACATTTCACCATGGGTGTGCTTTGGCAGGTACTTGTCTCTCAGTGCAGTTTACATCCCAGGGTTAGCAATAGGCTATGCTTTGCGAGCTCTAAGACAGGGAGAATGTCCTCAACTGAGTTCTACCCGGCTCTGAGTTACTGTGGGGCAGAACAATCCCATGGGAGAAGTGTGAGGCGACTGCTTAAGAGGACCTTGATATTGTGCATGGGTCAGCGAGCTGCAGTCAAGTGCGTTTTGGCCCAATGTCTCTGGGTTTCAATCTTCCTGTAGTTCCAAATATATGAAATCTGGGGGCGTCCAGCTCTCTAAAACCACAGTCAAGGAGACCTTAGGACTCCCGCGACCTTTCCGGTTTTCCCTAGTGTTAGGGCTACAGGTGAGGTACTTGGTCGCCATCTTAATATCAGATGCTTGGCAAGCCGCCGCTGGCGTCGTTCGGTTACCACGGAGACACCCAAGCCCCGCCCATTTCTCATCCGTAGAGGCCGTAAACTACAATTCCCACCAGCGGATTCCCGCTGCTTGACCGCCAGCTGTCCAGATTTGGCTTGTCAGCCCCCGCGACCCTGCCGCAGTGGACCGCGGGAGTTGCGGTTCGCGGCGGGACCTCACTTTTGGCTGAGGGCGGCTCCAGGACTACAAGTCCCGTGAGCCAGCGGGCTCGCGCACGCGCACCGGGCAGCCGCTCCTCCTCGGCCGCTCTGCCAGTGCCTGAGAGGTAAGAGAGGGCGGGGGAAGGAAGAGGAGGCGGGATCCGGGCGCTGCGTTGGCTGCGGCCTGGCACCAAAGGGGCGGACCCGGCGGAGAGCAGACCCAGTGGCCCCGGCGATTATGGACCCGGCCGAGGCCGTGTTGCAGGAGAAAGCGCTCAAGTTTATGGTGAGAAGACTGTGCTGGCCGGGGAACGGCAGAGGCGGTGGCGTTGGCGGCGTCGCTGAGCTCGGGCCTGGGCCGCCCGCCCACCATGGGAGGGGGCAGCGGGACCCTGCGCTCAGGCCCGCGGCGGGGGCGGCTGGAGGGACGGGACGGGAGCTCTGGGAAGGAGGCTGGGGGTTGCGGAGCAGATCTAGGGGTGGGGGCAGCAGCTCCGCCATCTTGTGGATGAGAGGCCAATTGACAGCGGGAGCTTAATCGAGGAGGGGGCTCCGGGCGGCGCGCGGGGCCCTGGAGGAAAAGGGGCGTGGGGACAGTTACTGAAGAGCGGACGAAGCCGGGTGCAGAGACGCGGTGAGGCCGCTGGCGGGGCCTTCCCGGTGTCAGGGTTACGGGTAAGGCCAGGCAGAGGCGGTGCGTTCGGGAGTGGGGAAGGGGGAGTGCGGCACGGTGAGAAGACGGATCATGGGGGTAGGGGAAAACCGGCAGGCTGGATGCAAATAGACTTAAGAGCAGGGGGGAGAAGGGCAGGGTTGGCGGGGGCGGGGGCTTGTAGTTTGGTAGAATAAGGGAGAATGATAGGGTGGAATCAAGCTTGGTCAAACTAATGTTGACAAACTCTGGCTAGGAAGAGGCCTTACTTAGGATGGTAAGGACTGAGGACGGGGACCCAGGGCGCTGGTGCCAGTCTCTGGAAGACGAGGGATGTTGACCGTGAGCCAGAATTACAAATGTAGTTTGAAAGGAGAGGCTAAATAATGTAGTAAGGACAAGGTGGTGGAAAGTAAGACTGATTGGTCAGGGAAATAGGAATCCAAGACATTGGGTCAAAATTAATTTCTAGAAGGGTAAACCAAGGCAAAACTTAAGAGTTAAATTATGAAGGTAGTACAGTGGGGGGGTAGTGGGGGGGGAGGGGTCAGGCGACCTATCACTTTCTCCGAAAGGGAAGGCTCTGGAGATGAGGGTTGCAAAGAGCCCTAGTTAGGGATGAGGTCAGTGGAGAAATACAGTAGATAAGGAGGGGTGATGTAGGTTGTGGGAGACGAGGTGAGTCCGGATTGTGATTACCTATCAGTTTTAGGTTGAAGCACGTGTTGAGTATGGATTGGATTTTATGGATGTGTTTAAACCCATTGGAGTCTATTTTTGAAATTTTGTATCACTCTTTTCTTTTGCTGTGCTTCTGTTTGGCCAACTTGTATAATCTGATATTTGATGCTTTTAATCTGATGCTTCTTGTGTATCCTAGGTGTAAAACCAGACTGCGTGGTTACAGCTAAAGAATAATGGAATGCATAGACTTTTAGCTTAACAGGTGGCTTTAGGGACATGGATATTATTTGCAGTCAAGTCTTGCTGTGAAGTAATTGTGACCTGGCCTGCCAAATCTTTTTTTTTTTTTTTTTTAAGTATTTTTTTTTTGTTTTTGC